GGAGACACTTACTTCTTGGGTGGAGAGCAATGACCAATCTCAATAAAATAGTGAAGAGTAGAGACATCACACTGGCAAGGAAGATCCGCATAGTTAAAGCAATGGTATTCCCCATATTCACCTAAGGATGTGAGAGCTGGATCATAGGAAAGGCTGAGTGAAGGAAGATAGATGCTTTTGAACTGGGGTGTTGGAGGAAAGTTCTGAGAATGCCTTGGACTGCCAGAAGAGCCAACCAGTCCATACTTCAGGAAATAAAGCCCGACTGCTCATTGGAGGGAAGGATATTACAGACAAAGTTGAAGTTCTTTGGCCACATCATGAGGAGACAGGAAAGCTTAGAGAAGACAATTATGCTGGGGAAAATGGAAGGAAAAAGGAAGAGGGGCCGACTAAGGGCAAGATGGATGGATGGCATCCTTAAAGTGACTGGCTTGACTCTGAAGGAGATGGGGGAGGTGACAGCCAACAGGGAGCTCTGGCGTGGGCTGGTCCATGAGGTCACAAAGAGTTGGAAACGACTGAACGAATGAACAGCAACAACAAAATTAGTATTTAAAAGCAGAGTAGACATCTCTTCTTTGAGTTAAATCTTTCATTTTGGTCCTTTTAACTCACATGCAATATTTAGCAGGAAGGGGGGGGGGGAGAATTGCTGCAAGAATTTTTTGGTTTCCAAGGCCTTCCATTCTAAGGAATGTGTTGAAGGATTGGGGGGGGGGGTCATATATGGACATAAGATGAGGAGGAAACAGAAAATGCATTTCAAATGCTTGAAGGACTTTTGACTTGTAGTGAGATCACATTGCTACCACTTTTCCAGACACTGAAAAAGATACAGGTTTCCTTCAACAGTAATGGTTTGAGCATTGGACTACAACACTGGAGAGCAGGGGACAAATCCCCACTCAACCATGTTAACATCTGCTGGTCACACACTCTCAAAGGAAGGAAAAAGCAAACCCCCTCTGAACAAATCTTATCAAGAAAACCCTGTAATAGTTTCACCTTGGGGTCACTATAAATCAGAAATTACTTGAAGGCACCTCAGACTTACACTGATTAACAGAGTGCTTCTGGGAAGCCCACAATCAAGATGTGGTTACAGTGGCATCTTCTCAGTCTTGCTCCTCAGTAGATGTGTATGTTTGAGGGCAGGTTGTGTCTGCTCAAGACCACTGATGGATCTGCTCTTCATAGTTAAACCACATAAACTCTTAGTCATCACTATTCCTTCTGCAGTACGTTCCATCCTGTATGAGCTGTTTCCTTTCATCTGTCCCATGGATTAGAAAGTTTTAAAAATACTGCATATACTCTAGTAGAAGCCAAATTCTTCAGCCCTTTTGAAGGGCTGAAGAAGCTCCCCTAGGTTTATACTTGGGTGAGGATCCTGGCAGGAAGGCTTGGGGTTGAAAAAAGCCCTTCTTTCAGCCCTACACCTTCTCACCAGGACCCTCAGCGCTCTGCACAGCAACCCAGCTCTCTCCTCTCTCATGTGCCTTCTTTCCTCTTCCTCCCTCATACACGCTTGCCTTTCGCTTCCCTCCTCTTGTGCAACTTTTTTCCTCTTCCCCCTCGTGCATGCTTGGCTTTCTCTTTTTTATGATTTTATTCTATTATTGTTGGAAGATTTTTTTTTGTCGTGTCAGGAGCGACTAGAGAAACTGCAAGTCACTTCTGGTGTGAGAGAATTGGCCATCTGCAAGGACGTTGTCTAGGGGATGTTTTGATGTTTTACCACCAATGCAGGAGCTTCTCTCATGTCCCGGCATGGAGACCTGGAACTAATAGAAGGAGCTCATCCATGTTCTCCCCAAATTCAAATCTCTGACCTGTTGGTCTTCAGTCCTGCTGGCACAGGGGTTTAACCAGGGGCTCCTATTGGAAGATACATAAGCACGTTTACATTGAAGAAGGTTAGAATGATGATTTAATCAGAGTTTGACAGTATTATCTTAAATTACAGTTTTATATAAATATTCAAAAACATTTAACCTACTGTGAATCAATTAATGTAATTTTGTTGGTATCTATTTTTATTTTTGAAATTTACCAGTAGCTCCTGCATTTCCCATTCTCAGTTTATCCTCAAGTCAATACATTTTCCCAGTTTTTAATGGTAAAATTATGTGCCTCAGCTTATATTCAGGTGGGATTATGCTTGAATATGTATGGTAATTAATCACAGTCATATTACAAGGCAAAAAATAGGAAGTTACCATTTTCAGAAACCTTTCCTATTTCACAAAAAAAATTCTTTCTCCACTTAGTAAACTTCATGGAAATTTTAATTCACAATATGTATAAGCAATGGTATCACACTATGAGGTTTAAATTGCAATATCTCTGAGATCTAAAATTATCAGATAATCTGTGTCTCTACTGGATATCATGCTGTATAGAGTTTGTGTTTGGGATACTAGGCATTTTCCTCTAAAGAAAGGAGAAAACATTAGCTGACTAAAAAAATAAGGAATGTATCATTTCTTTCTCAGTGGTCAGCTGTGGAAACTGGATTAAGTGACTGAGTATTAAGTGGTGATTAAAGACATAATCTAAAAATGAAATATATTGCTGTACATTGATATCATGCATGACATGTCCTAGCACTGTGCAGGAGGAGATGGTCATTCTGCCGTCTTTGCAAAACCAAGGAAAGAGCTCATTATAATCCAGTAAAGAGGAAATAAGAATATTTAAAAAGCTATCACTGTAGGCAATATCACTGAAGAGAATATAAAGCAGGTTTTCCACAAACCATCTATTTTGCTACATGGGAATGGTTGTGCCTGAAATCCAACTGCCATTGTGTACATATGATTGCCAAAGTTCCACAACCTATTTTTGAATTATTTGTCAGAATAAAATAACAGATATGATTTATATGAACTTGGAAAAAGTATGGGCAGGATACAGCCTTTCCTGCGCATGCAATCTGAAGTTAGTATAAACTGGAAAATCATGCTCAGAAGAGGATGTTTGATATGTTTTGCATCACCCAGTTATGTAGGATGAAAGAAAGACTGGCTTTTGTCTGATGAGTCCTCTGTATGTGCTGAGCTGCAGGAACACATGAATATGTGACTTGACATGACATAGAACCAGGCATGTAGCCGGGGGGGGGGGGTCTTGAGGGGCTTCAGCCCCCCCCCTGAAATTCTCATGGTGGTTCACGAAAAGGCCTTACTGGTGCATTATTTATGGAATGTGAGAACGGAATCTGATTTTATGTGAGGCGTTGATGTCTATATGTGTGTCGTTTGTGTATGTTTGTCTTTACATTGTTAGTGTGCACAATTTTTACTGTAAACCGCATTGAGTCGCCGGTCACGGCTGATAAATGCGGTATACAAATAGCGTAAATAAATAAATAAATAAATAAAATTATTTAAACTGTTGTTTATTCATATTATGATCTGATCACCATACTCACTATATCCCATATGCATGGGGGTATTGGGGTAATGATACAAAAGGTTTGCTAGGGTAGACCCTCTTTCACTCAGACTCAGCCCCCCCTCAAAAAAAACCTCAGCCCCCCCTGAACCCCCCCTGAAAAAAACTCAGCCCCCCTCGAATCGAAATCCTGACTACGGGCCTGCATAGAACAAAAGGTCGAAATGTGCTGCCACAAGAAATGATCATCACCTTGGAAAGTTATTCTTTTGGAGTACAACTCCCAGCATCCCTCTGCTAGCATGGCCAAAGGTCTTGCTGGCTGTGGTAGTCTTGGAGCAGTAATTAAAATACATTTTCAAAAGGACTAGAGGCTAAGATGGTTTTAAAAAGGGATTTGTCAAATTAATGAATATCTCCATCAGTGGGTACTAGATGTCACAAGCCAGGTGAAGTGTCCATATCTAAAGGCAATATGATTTTGTCAACTTCTGGTTAGGGAATTCTAGGAGCCATTGTCCCCAAAATAACATTTCCTAGGTCTGGCTCTGTATAAATTCTTTGGGAACTGTGAATGAGATAGCAGAAAAGTTCTCCTCTACTTCTGCCGTGCTGTGAGCTGCCCAGCATATCTGATATATCTGGTGAGAAACAGATATGGCTGTGTTGGACCTTTAGTTTGTTTGATCCAGCAGGACTCATATTCTCACCCATATTAGAGAAGGGTAGAGCAGTAAAAGGAACGGGGAAAGGAGGGTGCTTGCTTTGCATGCTGTTAAACTGGAGATGCTTGGAAGTGGTACAGAAAACTGCCTGACCTGTTATTCTGTGGTTGCCTGACTCTTTTATTTGCACTGCACAGCAATGAGCATGTTTATAAAATGTGGCAGCTGAGATGCCGAACTGTGCTCTGAGTTGGGGGCAGTGGCAGGCAGAGTGGGTGGCTGGTTGGGAGAAATCTTCTGGGCTGCTATTTCCTTTCTAGCCAAGCCCCAGATTGTTTGGAAGGAGTTTCTTCCTCCTCCCAAGTCTTCCCTCCTCTTCCCTCCATCCCGGCCTCTGAGGGGTGTTAACAAATTAAATGCAGACTTTCTTACAAAACAACTCTTTCCCATCCATCTGAGCTAAAAGCAGAAAGCTGGCAGGGCTGAATTGTCAACGATGGAAAACATTTGCTCTGGCTGTTGGCTCATAGTGGGCTAGTGGTGTCTCTGTCGATTGCACAGTGAGGATGGCGTATCCGGGGAAATCGCCCCTGAGGAGATCTTTCAGTGAGCATATCAAGGTTTCTACCAACAAAGCTTGGGATGTCTTTTGGAAGAGTGCACGAGAAAAGCGTCTATCAGGTTAGCTGCCCATGTTATTTTGCTTTTTACCAATACAAAATGAGCATTGCCTCATGGTTTACTTGCATTTTTCAGCTGACTGCATATTAAAATTCTGTAAACAGACTAATTCTCTTTTTGTTGTATTCACATATGCTTTTTAACATGAGATGGTGTTTGATGGCTACTACTTGGTAGTATAGTACTCAACAGGAAATGCAGGATATTGGTTCCCAAACCTTTTGCCAAATAGCAAACGCTGCTTCATGTGGCCATTTCTTTCATAATCACTGACGCAAACTATTACCCACACGTGATGACAGGCAGATTTTAATGCTTAATATGTCAAGTAGAAAGGAAATAAAGTTGGTGCTGGAATTTGAAATCCCATGTGAGACACTACATTGTGGAATATCATATTACCCCTGTCCTTTTTCATGCAACTTTCAAATCTGGTGACCACAAACAGCTGTTTTCTAAAATCCAGGACAAATTTGAAACATGTGGAATGAAATTGTTTACAGATATGTAAAGTTTGTGGCTGTATGTAATGCTTTGGAGTTCTAATTCTGAGTGTGTGCACAGGTCCAGTAAATCTTACATTGTTGTGTGATAGCATTCAGAGACACATGTTGATACCCTGACACTCAGTGGGGAAATCTGGTAATGCTAGGCAAATCTTGGAAACATGTATTCTAAACACAACCCTTTACAACCAATTGACATTTTCACTTTTTAGCTTGATGCTGTGTAACAATTAACAAAATATTCATTGTAATATATTAAGTTTGTGTCAAAAATGGAAAGTCAAGCTCTTCCTAATGAATGGTTAGAATATGATCTTTTAAAACTTTGCTGAGATGCAGAAATACAGCTCTGTGAAAGAAATTGTTACTCTGAATTGCTTCTATTTTTCTAGTTGCCAGACTTAATTCATCTGTGCAATAGGCTACTATTGATAAAGTTAGCAAATACTTTACAGATTGAGCAACCCTCTTATGCCGAATTCCAAAATTGTCTATGTGGGTGGCTGAGATAGAGGGTCACCTTTGCATTTTGATGTTTCAGTGTTCACAAAGCTTTCTTTCATGTACAAAATTATTACATTAGGTATATTGTATAAAATTACCTTCAGGTTTTGAGTATAGTGTGTATGGAAAATATAAATGAATATTTTGTTTTGACTTGGGTCTCATCTCCAAAGTATCTAATTGTGTATGCATATGCAAATATATCAGCAAATTAAGCTGTAACCTGCCTCAAGCTAAAATGAGAGGCAGGTAAGAAATAAAATTATTATCATCATTAGTAGTAATAGTAGTAGTAGCAGAAGAAGAAGTAGTAGTATTCCAAAATCCACATACACATACCTCAAATTCCAAAATCCAGAATAGTTCTGATTCCAAGCGTTCTGGAGAATGGATCATTAGCATAGATTAGACACGATAGAAAACCTGAATATCAATTAATGGAATAATGGAAATACTCAGGGCACCCATTCTAATACTAATATCTGTAAATCTTGAACTGCAGTAGAAATGGAAAATAGGAGTACTTCAATCTACTGGCTTCACTAATAAAATTTTACTGACTGAGGTTCCAGACAGCCATAGTATCAAGAGGTATCCACTGTGTTCTCTCACTGTCACTTCCATCATTCTTGCAAGACCTATTAAAAAGAGAAAGCTGGAACTGATGCATAAACCATTTAATTAGTAACAAGTTGGGTTGTCTATCTGGAGGTACCCTTGGAACTGTTGAAATGAGCTGAATACTTGCTCAAATATAATTATACTCAAAATTGACTCAAAACTACTAGGTCTGTTTATTTTTTGTTTGTTAAATGAATGGCCAGTAGAAATGTGTTTGTGTTCTTGGAGACAGTGTGAGGTATGCAACTCAGAATCATATTAAGAGTGTGACAGTCATACACATGTGCAAGACTTAGAAGACATATTAGCACCAGAGACACCTGAGTTTGCCCTTCATCATGAAGCCATAGACAAACTGATGAGACTCAAATATTCCACATGGCTCTGTAAACTACTGACAACAGATGAAAGATATTATGTACATGATTGTTCTAAATATGAGAGGCCATTTCCTGTTTAATACTGTAGCTTTACAACTTGGTTACATAGGGGCTCTTTGAATGCACAACTCCCAAGTGAAACAGGGGTTATGAAGTAAAACTGAAAGAAGTCAAAACTGGAGTGAAAAAGGTGTACGAAAAAATGGAAAATCCTGCACTGAAATCAGACCTGAAAACTAGTCATAGACGGATTCTACCTAAAGTATATGCTAGCCACTGCTGATAGTTCTGAGACTTTATCACATGAGGCTGGTAAGTCATAACTACAGTGAGATAATAGCATGTTTGGTTAGTACTTATCAGAGAATGACAGATTGTTGTCCTCCAGATGTTGTTAACCTCAATTCTCACTAGTCTTAGCCAAGCACAGTCAATGGCGGGTCTTGTAGGAATTGTAATTTGTGGTGGAACATTGTTGTTGCTCTCCCGCTGTGTTGCAGATATGCCAGCTGTTGTCACAACAATATTAATTAATCCCACTTGGTGCTACATGTACATGGCTTGTCCTTCACCTCTGCTGATCCCCATGTATGAGGAGTTCCTCTGATTCATGGCCCACCCCTAACACCAAGTAATGTCACCACAACTTGAATTTAAGTGGATAATTACTTCCAATCTATACCTCTGACATCCCATATTTGTACTCTTTCTGGCAACTGACATGAGCAAAGGTATTAGAAGTCCATATGAGATTAAATGTAATATGTGCATACACACAATTAAGATAATTCTTTTAAAGTTATTCTTGTTTCATAGCACCAATACTATTATAACCACTTTCAGTAATAGGTGAAAGGCTTGAGTTCATCTTTGCTCTTAAACCAGTTCATCTTGTCCGGCTCCACATTCATTCAAAACTTAGGCAGTGCTCTAAAGTTGGATAGATGGTTTTACCCTGGTTGGGATTACAATAAACAGGGGAAGGATATTTAAAGACTTTTAGGTCCTTTAATCCAAAGACTACATGGGGAGTCTCAACTGGTAGGAAACTCCAAGAAGGAAATTTCTCCCAAAGCTCCTTTTCTTGTCTCCTACCCATTCCTTGAGTAAACTTGAGGGGTACACTTGAGCCTAACCTAGGCTCAGCTTTCTCTTGTCTCATGTGACTTCCTCAACCCTCAGCAGTCACTATATACGAGCTGTAGCTCTGGCTTAGACACCATGTTAACAGCAGTCTCTGGGGATGTAACACAAGCACCTGCTTGTCCAGTTTTGATGGATTTGTTTCAATTGGTAGAGCTCAAGGATGTGGACAGGATCCTTGGAGAGATGAGAGCAACCACATGCATCCTAGGCCCCTGCCCACCCTGGCTGGTAAAGGAGGCTGGGGGGGGGGTTGGCTGAGTGGGTGAAGGTTGTGATTAATGGCTCCTTACAGGAAAGCAAGATTCCAGCCAGCTTAAAAGAAGCTGTAATAAAACTGCTGTTGAAAAAACATCACTGGATCCCACCCAATTGAACAACTTTCGGCCAGTTTCCAATCTCCCTTTTTTGGGCAAAGTCATGGAATGTGTGGTGGCCTCACAACTCCAGGGATTCTTGGAAGACACTGATTATCTAGGTCTGACACTGTCTTTAGGCCAGAACATGGAACTGAAACAGCCTTCGTTGCCTTAGTGGATGATCTGCATAGGGGAGTGTGTCCCTGTTGGTTCTCCTGGACCTCTCAGCGGCCTTTGATATTATAGACCACAGTATCCTTCTGGGACACCTCATGGGAATGGGGTTTGGGGGTACTGTTTTACAGTGGCTCTGGTCCTTCCTGGAGGGTCATTACCAGGAGGTGTTGTTCGGGGATACCTGCTCGGCCCAACAACCATTTACTTGTGGGGTCCTGCAAGGATCAGTACTGTCCCCCATGTTCAACATTTACATGAAGCCGCTGGGAAAGATCATTCAGAGTTTTGAGGTTGAATGTCATTTGTATGCAGATTATATTCAGCTCTATCACTCCTTTCCACCTGCTACTAAAGTAGCTGTTCAGGTCCTGAACTGGTTCTTGGCAGCTGTGATGGTCTGGATGAGGGCTAACAAATTGAAACTGAATCCAGACAAGACAGAGGTACTCCTACTTATTTGTAAGGCCGAACAGGGCATAGGGGTACAGCCTAGTGCTAGATGGGGTTACACTCCCCATGAAGACACAGGTTGCAGTTTATAAATGATCCTAGATTCATCGTTGAGCCTGGAACCTCAGGTCTCGGTTGTGGCTAGGAGAGCTTTTGCACAATTAAAACTTGTGTGCCAACTGCACTTGTACCTTGAAAAGTCTGACTTTGCCATGGCAGTCCATGCTCTTCTTACATCCCGAATATATTACTGCAACACACTCTACATGGGGTTGCCTCTGAAAACTGCTTGGAAGCTTCAATTAGTCCAATGGGTGGCAGCCAGATTGCTCACCATAGCGGGCTACAGGGAGCACACAACAACCCTTATGCCAACACTACTGGCTGCCAGTCTGCTACCAAGCCCAGTTTACCTGTCCAAACTTTTCTCCCTCTATGAACCATCAAGGAGGCTAAAATCGCCCAAGAAGGCCCTGCTCTGATTCCCACCATATTACTTGTTTATTTGTCTTCTAACAAGACCAGTAAATAAACTTTGGATGAATACGACACTATTGGGAGTAGTCATCAAGAGAATAGAACAAAGTGAAGTCTTTTGCCTGGTGACACCCAACTCTATTTTTCCTGTATATATGAGTCAGGCACAGGTTTTGAATCGGAATGCTTTGAGGGATAATAGACCTTTTGAAATTCTGTTGTTATCCACTCCACCAAAATTAAATTTTTATTGTATTTTGCATTCTTATTAGATTTTTTTTAAAAAAAAAAAAAAGTTTAATTCCTTTCCATAGAATAGTCTGAAATGGGGGGGCGGGGGACTACAATGAATGCTAGGAAAGACTAAATCTTTATATTGAAAT